CATTATTGGCTTTGCATGTGTCACTAATACAAATATTTTAGAGAGCTCACCTTCCATGACGCGTATTGTTCGCTTCTATTCATCGTTGATTACTTCTCTGGACTCATAGTTCCTCTGCTGCACGCACTTCTGCAAAACGCTCTGTTGTTCTCGAAGCCATGCACGGTACCTCAGACTAAATGTTACCTTCCACTTCTCTAGATATACTTTGTATGATCACAACCCTCGCCCACACCCTCTTTTACAAAGAAGGGGCTTTCGGCTTTTTACCTTTTTACTGCATAAAACGAAGTCTGTTAGTATTTGATTGAGTACCAACGCCTGCCAAAGCTGTTCCTGACACCTTTGGGTCCTCAATCAGGTGGCCGAGCGATCTCTTTCCGATATCCATCAGCGCTTGATATTTTCCTACAAAGCCTCGAAGTCTCCAATACCGTGTAGATCAACTACGGATCTCGAAATCCCTTCCAAACGATGTTTGATGAAGTTTTGAACATTTTCCGGAAAAATGTTTTTTTGGCCTTTGACCCCGGAAGTGATGTTCTTTTGACCCGACCTCACACTCTCCCCCTCAACCAAGTCCCGACCTCAAGACTCCTTCAAAACCATGTTTCATGAAGTTTTGAACAATTCCAGAAAAATAGCCATTTAACCTTTGACCTGCGACAGACACACACACAAACAAACAAACGAATTTCCGTTTTTTGACCACTTTTTTTCGACATGACCCTCCTTACAGTCGAGGGAATAAAAATGGAAAAGATGAAAATAGAAATTCAAAATGCATTAAAATATCAACAAACTGAAATTCTAACTTCAAATCAAACGCTTAATTTAGAATCTGAACAGATACAAAAAAGTTATTCCGAGAAAAAAGAATTCTTAGCCAAACAAGAAGCTACATATTATAATTTAGAATCTGAATTGGAATCTATTCAAATACAAAATCAACAAGTTATAGTTTCTTCTTCTTCTTCTCTACCGATTGAAAGTATAACAAAAAGAAAACTTTTTGTCAAAATTAAGAATAAAGGATCGATTAGTATTAGTAAGCATTTGATTGGAAAAAAGAAACTAATCTAAATTCTTTTATTTGTAAAGAATGTTCTCCTGATGGTACTTTTATTAGTTTATTCAATCAATCTATCAATGAACATATTAATATTTCTAAATGGATCATAAAACGAAATCTTGATTCAAATTTTGAATATCAATATACATTACCTGATCAAGTTTTATTTGAAGCAGGTCGGGAATTAAGAATCTATGCTAAACAGGGTGTTCAATGTAATGAAATCCCATTATTTGGTCGTTGTATTCTTTCATCATTACGTCAAGAATTTATTAATAATGATATTGGCTCATGGGGTATGTCATATTAATGTCTATTTAATAGTTAATTTCCGCTCTTTTTTCTTAGGTATATGTCATATTAATGAAACACGATTATATAATGAAATTGGAAAAGAAAAAGCATTCTGTTCTCAATCAATCACAATATAAAATTGATTTTACTAAAAACATTCTTCAGTTTTTCTATTAAAATCTTATATATTTTCATTTAAAGTATGAGTTTTAACAAAAAAAGAAATCTTCAATATAAAAATACTTGAGTAATTCATCATTTTCTTTGAAATAGTATTTAGAGATACTTGAAATGAACAAGTCAAGTCTAAGTTGATTTGGACTTACACATTTCTCATTTAAAATTTTCATTTTCATAGAAGTTCGTCAATTAATCGTACTACGCTGTTGGTGAGGCCACATAGGTTCTCGATAATACTTTTTCTCATCATTAGCCAACGAACGATATATCAACATTTTATGTGTTGATTTTAATAACAGAATAGAAAAGATTAAATCCTTATAACATTCTTTCTATGAAATCATAAAGAATAAGAAAGAAGAATTCACAAATTACAAAGACATATTTATCTTAAATTTCTCATTAAATATATTCTTCAACATCAATGTTATTAAATAACAATTCAACAAGAATTTATATTGAATCCTGGTATATTCCTTTGAATATAATTCTTACTATTTTTCTAATAATTTTATCATTGATTTTAATTTTAATTATTATAATTGATAAAACTTGTCATAGAATTTCAATGTTCTTAACAAGAAATTTATGTTTTGGTATAATTATATTTACATATGGTATGATAGGAATGTCAATAATATCTTTAGAAAATGATATAAAACAAATTTTTAATCCACATTTACTTTGTATTATTCATTCTTATTTTGCATATGCTGGAAGTGTTATTATAGAATATGTATTTGTTTTACAAGCATTTCATCGATATTTAATTGTTATTTATCGAATTCGTTTATTTTTTTCAATCAATTCGATTTCAATTTCTTCTTATTTGTATAACATGGATTATAAGTTTTGTTAGTTCATTAGAATTTTTATTTGAAAATCAAATTGTTTATAATATTGATAATCAATCTTGTTTTATTCCATTTAATTTTTCATTTTCAATTATTTATATGATGTTTGCTGTTTATTTAATTTCTTTATCAATACAAATATTTCTTTATATAAAATTAATTTATTATGTTAAACAAATGAATAAAAGAATAACACCGATAAATATTTTACTTCGTGCACAAAGAGAATTACGAATGGTTCAACGTATAATTATAATTGTTATTATTTGAATTTTATTTGATATTCCTTATATTATTTTAGTTTTTATTTCATTTTTTATTCAATTATCAAAATATTATTTTCGAATTGCTTCAATTTCAATTGATGTTGCATTAATACCTTTACTTATCGATCTTTTTCATTTTACTCAACCAGTTAAATTAGTTTTAATTAAAAGAATTTAACAAAGAACAAATAGAATTTCAATAATTGCATTATAATTATTCTTTTTGACAAAAAAAAAGAATCGTTTTTTCAGAGATTTTTGAAATATATTTCAAACAGAAAACATAGCTAAGTTAGTATACTCAAAAACTATAACATTATTTTGATTTATAAAAACGTAGATTCTAGAAGAGTGAAATGTATATTGGCAGATATAAGATTAAAAATTCTATGGAGTATTCCTCTTTTTGAAAGAAAGGGTTATACAGCGTTGAAATCCAGAAAATTTATTCAAGACTTCCAATCAGAAACAGTCCTGGATGAAGAGCAATAGATACCTCCGGGTGTTCGGAAATCTTTTACCCAGAAATACTGTCTAAAGCGGGTAATCGTGGGTCAGATACACCAAAAAGCAAGACTTGGATGGACTAAGGCGTCGTCACTTCACATGAGTGCTCATTTTACATTCCCATTCATTCAAAGAACTGCTGGTAGTTTACTTAGAATTTTACTTTTGTGAAGTCCACGATGAAATTCTCATAATTTTCTATGCCATGAATTTCGTAACAGACATCTGCACTGAAACTCTGAAAATACAAAGTGCTACGAAACATCATTTTCCCTCTGAATGATCCAAAGATTCTTAGGTTTTGTTACTGTTTTCAGAACCGTTTGTCTGAAATCTATTTTCTATTTTCTTAATTGAGTTCTTCTCCTTTAACAAATTTAATATTAAAATGACAAAGAAATGATTTATTATAAAAATCTTATTTTGTTACACATAAATTCACAATTCCTCCCTTAATTTCAACATTTTCTTTCAAATTCTTCTTATTTCGTCTTTTAATCATATAAAAACCAATGAAAGATAAAACAATCGTTATAACTACTACAGGAATTATTATTGCTAAGATAATTTTCCATTTTTCATCCTTATTTCTCGTTGGTTTAATTGTACTAGTTATCATAGATGAACAATAATAATCAATATTCTCACATTCTTTAGTTAATTCATCAAAAATCGTTTGATTTGCTAAACAATTTAATTCTCTTGGATAAATAAATTTCTTCCACATAAATGTAAAACAAGTACATGGATGATTTTCGTATAGAAATAAAGTTGATTGATTAAAAATGTTAAACAATTCTTTTGATAAACAATAATCCTTATTATTCAATGGAATATTATTAAGAACAATTTGAAAATCAATTACATTTTGATTCCATACAATTGGTGTATCATCTCTTGATTCTAATAACCAAAATTTATCTGATCTTGGTATTCCAGATAAATCTACTCGAACGATTTGTTTTAATTTTGTAAAAATATTCCAATTAATTTCCTTTAAATTCTTACAATTAATCAATGATATTGAATCAAGTGTTTCTGACAAACTATATAAAAATGAAGTTATTTGATTTTTGGGTTTGAATTCTTCATCATAAACAATTATTATTGTTTCTAATGAAGAAATCAAATTTGAACTTAAATCAAGAAATTCTATGCTCGTATCATTAAAAGTAAATGGATGAATTCTTTCAATTTCATTCAAACTCATATTAAGAAAGTTAAGTTTACGCATATTTTTAAATGTACCTTCATTTAATGTTTGGATTTTATTACAGCATATTTCTAATGAACCTAAATTTGTTAAATTTTGTATTGAATGAATTTCCTCAAGAAAATTATTTGATAATTCAAGAATATGTAATGTTTGATTTAATGGAGATAAAAATGATATTAATTGATTATTATTTGTTCGAGTTTCTAATGAAGTTAATTGATTATTATTTAATTCTAAAATA